GCCTTCACTTATAGACATGCACCATCAATTATGTCAACCACAAAACATGCTTCCACAAAACATGCTTCCTCAAAACATGCTTCCACAAAACATGCTTCCACAAAACATGCTTTCAAAGTCCACAAAGTTGAGAGGAAATGTTTGCCAACTCATAATTATATGAGCCAAACACAACAGCATGATCAGCTAGCGTTCACACTCCAATTATATCAGCCTTCACACATATTCATTCATTGCCCATGTACTGATTCACAGCTACAAGAAACACCTCCTTTTGCTTCTCAATCACCATAAATATGGAGTGGTGGAAATTTTTACCAAATTACCGTACCAACCGCCCTACCAACCATACCATACCAAATTATTACCAAAAATTTGTACCAATTGGTAATGGTACGGTATTTGTACCGTACCATACTATTTCAGTACGGTACTGGTATCTAAAACCAGTATCGATGGTATACTGTACCTACCAATATTATTAATATTATATTATGTATTTATTCATATAATTATTTGAGGGCAAAATTAATAATAATTATTGTAGAAGTGTAAAAAATGTAAAAAAAATATACAATCACTTAGGGGTGAAAATTTTTACCAAATTACCGTACCAACCGTCCTACCAATCATACCATACCAAATTATTACCAAACATTTGTACCAATTGGTAATGGTACGGTATTTGTACCGTATCATACTGTTTCGGTATGGTATTTGTACCGTACCATACTATTTCGGTACGGTACTGGTATCCAAAACCAGTACTGGTGGTATACCATACCTACCAATATTATTAATATTATATTATGTATTTATTGATATAATTATTTGAGGGCAAAATTAATAAAATTAATAATAATTATTGTAGAAGTATAAAAAATGTAAAAAAAAAAAAAAATATATATATATATATATATATATATATATATATGCAATCACTCATAATGACAAGCTTTACAACTTTCATGAAGGGGTCAACTTCAAAATTCAACACCATAATCCATAAACCTTAAATTTATATTTAACCGTCAATTATCATTTACACTTTATTCTTCTTACTGAATTTCTTTTTGAAAATTTTCTTTTTTGAAAACATGATCATCTGGCAAATGTAAGAAGATGAACAGTTCAGATCTTTGATATCACGTTTCGATATTTACAATTAACTGAAATATGAGTCGATGTCATATAGTTTGTAGAAACTTTATAAACATCAATCAATATTTTTACTAACCGCAAATCTCTGAACATAATATCAACGATCCAAGCTGTTCATCTTCCTGCATCCTCTAATAGATCATGATTTCAAAAAAGAAAATCCGAAAAAAACAAAATTTGATGAGAAAAATGAAACGTAAATGTAAACAACAATCAATGGTTAAATTTTGATTTATGATTTATATGATTATAATGGTGAATTTCAAATTTAAGCTCTTCATGAAAGTTGTAAAGCTTGTCATTACAAGCGTTTATATATTTTTTCTATATTTTTTACACTTCTACATTAATTAAAAAATACTAGATTTTGGGCAAACTAAATGGCGTAAAACAAAGTGGCAATTACCATTGGCATACCATACCAACCAAACTATTTGGTATACCGAAGGTTTGGTACGGTAATGGTAATAGATTTTGCTGTACCAAATATTTGGTATGGTAATTGGTACATATATTTTGGTACAGTAATGTACCAAAACCACCCCTATAAATATGCCCTCTCTCTATCCTCCTTGTAACCCCATCTCCACTCTAAGCTCATCCTCTCAAACTTGTTTTGTTTTCTTTTCCACTGGACATGGAAAACATCTTCACCACCACCTTTTCTCTCCTCCTCCTTTTATCCCTACTCCTACTCCCCTACCCATCCACCGCAGCTTCTGCTACTGCAGCTGCATCTTCCCCTTGTCCTCAACCTTTTACCACGCCACTTGCCCCCAGGCCACCTTCATCATCCGCGCAGTGGTTCAAAAGGTCTTCGCCAAGGAGCATTGACTCGGGGCCTCCTTCCTCCAAATGCACTTCCACGACTGCTTCGAGTAGGGTTGCGACGACTCTGTCCTTCTGGGCACCCTTCCGAACAAGAATTCTCTCTGTAGCTTCCAGGTTGTTGACGCCGCAAAGTCGGAGCTCAAGCATGTCTGCCCGGGCATGGTGTCATGCGCCGACACTCTAGCCATGGCAGCTAGAGAATGGGTCGTTACCATAGGCGGGCCAAGTTGGGACCTCCTGCTTGGCCGAAGGGATTCCTTGGCGCCCATTGCCAGCTCCACCATCGAGCTACCCAACCCAAATTCCCCTCGCCGGTCTCAGGAAAAGGTTCGCCGCCAAGGGCTTCACGGAGGCAAATATGGTGGCTCTGTCTGGCACCCACACCATCGGGAGGTCGAGCTGCTGTTTCTTCCGTGATCGCATCTACAACGACGACAACATGGACCGGGAGTACGTGACCAGGCTGTAGACCACCTGTCCATCTGTCCACCTGTCGGGGTTGACCTCACAGTGGCGCCCTTTAACCCTCAGAGCCCCAACATGTTCGACAACGCCTATTACGACAACCTAGTGGAGCAGAAGGGCCTGTTCAGGTCAGACTAGGCACTGTTCGGTGACGAGGATGACAATGCGGTCTAGGAGCAGATCCTGCGCTACAGCAAGAACCTATTGGCGTTCGAGGCATATTTTGCAGTACATGGCGAGGTTGCAGTTTGTCTATCCACTAATTGAGGGCAACCTCACAGTGGTGGTCGTTGATCCTAGGAGCCCTGACACATCGTCAACGTCTATTATGGCACTTGGTCGAGGGAAAGGGCATGTTCTAGTCGAACCAGGCACTCTTTAGCAATAGGGGCGGCAATGCGTTGGGGGTGGATGAGCAGGTGCTACGCTACAATATGAACGGCTCGCATTGGATAAAGACTTTGTGGCGGCGATGGAGAAGATGTCGGCCCTAAGCCTGCTAATGGGAGGCAATAGGGAAGTGCGGGTGAATTGTTGGTAAGTGAACCCAGCAGTGGCGTAGTTGGTTAGTTGGAGCCGCAACAGCTGGAAAACTAATAAGGCTCTTGATTATTGTACTAGTTATATGGTATTATAGCTCTAAGGCTCTTAATTATTGAGAATGATAATAATCTAACGTGAATATTAATTAGTTAATAACTAATTAAGGCAAGCATAGAACTATATTTTTGAAATAAATTAGGCCGGCCCGTCCCATTATTAAGTCAATCAACCTAAGCACGGTACAACACATGCAGATCAATTTTAAATAAATTGGCCAAGACGGGCCAACCTATTTGTCATCTCTACTATGTATTGCCGCTCTAAGGCTAGCTATATTGTACTACAATTTTAAGGCTCTTGATTATTAACAATGATAAAAATCTTACGTGAATATTAAAGGGAAACATACACAATTGGACGAAAGTGATATTGTACTACAGTTATATATGGGAAATGGTCAACCCTCTACGAGGACAATTGCCCTCGAGCCACCTCCATCGTCTGCCGAGTGGTCAAAATTGTTGTCACCAGGAAGGCTTGACTCGGAGCCTCCCTGTTGCAATGCACTTTCACTACTACTTCGTACAGGGGTGTGATGGGTCATGACGTGCCAACCTTTTTGTCTCCACTATAAGTATGTACTAATCTCTAAGGCTAGTTAAATTGTACTACAGCTTTAAGGCTCTTGATTATTGAGAGTGATAATAATCTAACTATTGAGAGTGATAATAATCTAACGAGAATATTAATTAGGTAATAACTAATAAAGGCAAGCAATTTTGGTCACTAGAACAGTGTTTTTGAAATAAATTGGGCCAACCTATCCCTTTTATTAAGTGGATCGACACAAGCATGGTACAACACATGTGGACTGACTTTACATAAATTGAGCAAGACGGGCCAACCTGTTTGTCACCTCTACTAATTACATACTACAGCTCTAAGGCAAGATGGGCAAGTCGGGGTGTTGTCCAGCTGCACTGACCCATTTGCACCCCTGCACGAAGCAACCATAAAAGTGCATTCGCAAAAAGGAGACTCCAACAATAAGATTATCCGGCAATCTCACTACAAACTCTTTTAAGTCAGTCAGTAAATGACGCCAACAATATCAGGAACGAGTTAAAAATCGTTAGATGAGTGATGTGATCTCATGATAATTAATCTGGTGGTGGTGCCACCACCTAAGGGCGGTGAGCCAAAATGCTCCAACAAAATTATGATGAACATAAATAAGGCGCAGTATTCACATTTGAAGTATTATGATCCCAACATCAGGGTCGTTTCCAAATAATTCCAGGTAAAACCCTATTGAGCTGTTAAGATGGAATTTTGAACCAAATTTTACAACATCTTAGCTTAAAATTTTGGATTATCCCACTCCCATTAAATTAAGGGAGTTTTAACAAAACATTCTGGTACTGTTCACTTTGAACGAAAAACCACAATTTTACCTTTTCCTGATACTATTCACTACACCTTTATTTGTCATTTTTCATTACAATTAAAGTTTTTTTTTGAACTTTTTGTTAGTTTTCCTTTAAATTAAAGGAACCAAAATTAAATTAAGCCGCTGAATACAACCCTAGCCAATAGATCTCTCAATGCATATGCACAGAGGAACTGCTAACCAAGCACATGCAAGACAACCCAAAAAACTGTATGTTTGTGAAACTAAATACAACCCTGGCCATTCTCCAGAGATTGACTAGTTTCGTTGTTCGATTCTCCAACAGGGAGGCAGGTGCTATCGGGCAACTCGAAATGCCCTTACTGGACCGGTAGTAGGCGGAAAAGAACCACATATAGGAATGAATGGAGTCCTTGATTCCTTGCTAGTTAGTATGTTACAAGACATCCAACATTCATCGTGGTTCAAGCAAAGTGAGAGGGAGGGCAAACGCAGGCAGAATTCTCCATGGAAGAAACACCTCCCCCCCCTTTCGCCGGGAACAAAAACGAAACAAAAGAAAATCAGAATAGTGAGACACATCGCTAGCTGTTACCTGAAGAGAAAAAAGCATGCATGTCACGTGGTATTCCTATCCAAGCTAATGTTAAGCAAACATCAATCTCCCTTATAAAGAGGAGCAGGAAGATACAATGCGTCCAGTATTTCTAAACTCTCCACCAAAAGAGGCCATTTGCCCACTAGTACAGGAAGAAGAGGTCTGTTTTTCTTTTCCTTCTTTTTTTCATGTCCCTCGTACTCTTTCTCATTTTCTGTTATAAATTAAAATTTACCAAAGCGGCTGTACATTCGGGGTGGGATACAGACCCCTGCTATGAGGCCTCAACATAGATGGCTTTCCAACACCGTCCCCCGTTCCCTTCACAGCACATTCATCCCATTCCTTTCCGCTGGAAAAACAAAAACCAAACCAAAACAAAAATTACATCACCATTATCCACTTGAAGGCATTTCCAAACGATGAATTCCATTTAACATTGAAGTAGCACGACAAGATTCAAACCAATCAAACACAAAATCAAAGCAATGAATTCTATTTAACATTGAAATGACACGAACAATCCAAACCAAACAAGGAACCCCGTGACTTGGTTACAAGCTGCATAAATCTACTCTGTTGTCCAACCATTCAAAAAAAACTTATAATGGCTAGCTATTATTCGGGGTATCACGAGACAACTTTAATTGATTTTTCAACTCTGGGGTTGCTATGGGATCAGTGAAACCCCCTTACATTCATCCAATGAGAAGGTTTGGTAAATAAACAAAAATACAAGCCATTTAAAGAAAAAAATTACTCCTGCAACAACATAACAACTAAAACATCAAGCTATATGCTGTGCACATCCAAACCCTTTTTTCAGCACATTAGAACTCCAACGTCCACCCTAGTTTGTACTGGATTACATTGCAAGAACGGAAAAAAAAAAGTGTAGATATTTCAACTTGCCCTTCGGGATTCATTATGGTTTCTAAAGTTCAAACGTCCACCCTAGTGTTGTAAAGGATTATATTGCAAGAATGGGAAAGAAAAAAGCAAAAAAAAGTTGCTGTTTCTATTGACATTCTTTGCTTCAGGCAAGAACAAATAATCCTAACCTTTACACACCACTATTTCACAATCCCACAATAACTATTAAAGTCTATAAAAGCTCTATGAAGGACATAAAAAGCAACTTTTAGAAACTAACAATTTAAAATACTGAGGATGAGGTGCGATGCACTTACTTTGACAACCCGTTCTCTTGAGACAGCTCAAATGGATGGTTTCCAGTAGCTCTGATGGGACTCCCAAAAATCAGTTCATTTTTTGTAGTTTCGCCCGGAGGTCTGAGAGGACAATGGTTTTCAGCGGTTGACAATGGAGGAAAAAAGGCTTTCTGCAACCAAGGATCATGATCACTGGAACCAGTGACAGGGCTAAAAGTTCTGCCATCCTGGCCATTGCCAAGAAAAATGCTCTGATTCTTAGGAGATTGAGAGCCAGAAACAACCTGATCTTCTGTAGTAAATAGTGAAACTGATGAAGGGTGTGTGAGATCATCCTTGTTTGATCTATTCAGTTCTGGAGGCAAAAACCAGCTTGGAGAGCCACCTGCAAAACCTAGACCTTCATGACCAAGAGGACAACTGTTCCACATTTGCCACGTTCCCTTATCTTTGACATTTGCATCATCCAGGGGTGAAGCATGCATATCTTGGGCCTTTGGGGTACTAGGGAAGCGACTAGAGTTATTATGCTTTTCTCGTGACATTGGTGACTCAATTGGAGATGGCTTGTTCACTTCAGAAGAAGCAGGTCCATTCTTCAATGTGCGAGGCCTCTCCAATTCCATATCTTTCACAAAACCAGTCCCCATGTCCAATTGAAAATTATCAAGTGACTCAGAAACTGGCCCAAGCAAGGATACTGGATCAGGGACGTAACATGGGTCTTCAAAAAGCTCTGGCTCCTCAGGTATAAGTTCATGATGCCCTTCACCAATGCGAGGAAGTACGGGATCAATTGCAGGTGAAAAACCTAAACTGCTGGTAGTAGATACTTTTGGATAGGTAGTAGATAAAGCGAATGGTGATGGCAGCCCAAAGTTGATTGGATTATCAAATGATTGTATTGCCGAGGACTGACCAGATAACTGAGGACTTTGAACTTCTGTCTGAGACTTTGCATTTGGTCTACTTATTACATTTACACTTGTTGATGAAGGCACGGACGATGAACGAGTAAACAATTGCTGCCATGATTTTTTAGGTGCAGTCCCTGACTGTGGTTCTGAGTGAACCTGCATAGAATGCATCACATTGTAAAATTTATTGTATGCATCTAAATTTTGTTATAATAGGCTTAATATTATTATCATTTATGGGGCAACAGGAGTTGAAATTAGTGTTTCACTTTTGTAGATTTTTGGGTTGACATTCCAAAAGGAGCCTGAATCTACTTAAGTTACAAAACTGTTGAAGTTGATACAATCACATTTTTAATGCTCAGAAAGGCAAGGCCAACCTAATAGATGAATGGCATAATGAAGAAACTCAAGTGGATCACAGCCATGAAAATTATAAGTATATAAAATTCTACCTTAGGACGAGGTAGGCTACCGATAACATATTTAAAGTTATAGGAAAACACATATAAACATTGAGGTATAAAGCAAGAAACTTACAGGGCAGTGGACACTCTTATCATCTCCATTCATCAAAGGTCTCGCAGCTGCGCGCTCAGGTGGACATAAGTCTCTCTTCTGGGCATAAATATGGACATGATCTACAGAACTGCTAGATTTGGTTTCTTTTGTCACTGTACTATTAGCACCCTTTCCAAAGAAACTACCTCCACCAAAGGCCTTTGAAGAATTAAAAATTGTACCCCTCATGCGGTCCAGGTACCTAGATCCAGCATTTCCCCGAATAAAATTGTTTGTATATGAATTTTTTATACCATGCCCCGTCTCTGTGCTTTGTCCCTTAAGAAAATCTGCCCCTGATTTCAGAAGTTGGCGGCGGTCAATATCACTCTTATTGTCAAAGTCCCTCTTTCGTTCACTTTCCTTACCTGCTCTCTTTTCCAGCTCTTCTGCATCAGAGTTGCTCTTGCTAGAACCCTTATCTTTCTCTTTCCTTCTTTCCTGTCGTTTCTTTTCTGCTTCTCTCTTAGTATCTTTTTCCCTCGCAGGTGGTGATGATTTCCCACGTTCAGCTTCCTTTTTCTCATCCCTAATTCTCCTGCGTTCCTCCACCAACCTTGCAACTTCCTCCCTCTGCTTTCTTTCTTCCTCCTCCAAAAGCTCCTTCTCTATCCTAGCCTGTCTCTTCTCTTCAGCTTTTCTGCGAGCCTTTTCTCCTCTACTCTCATTCAAGTTGGCCCCATTCTCGCCCCTTTTGGCCGATCCATTATGGTCTGTGTCAGATGCATCATCCTCCCCTGATGTACTAATCCTAAAAAGCTTTCTCCAAAGCCATCTAACGCTCAAGAAAAACGAAGTTAGTAGCTTGCAAGCAAAATTAACAACACCTGTATACGACTTCTCTGCCAAACAACTCTCATCCCCTCCAAAAACACTGCTCCCGTCCTTTCTGCAATAACTAGACTTCCCAGTAATAGAACCACCGACCCAATTTCCATTCTCCAACGAATCTTGACCGTCCAACCACCCATTTTCAGACCACACCTTTCCAGTCAATATCCTTCCAACCTTTTCAACTAACTCTTTGATGATCCCAGAATTCGAGAGTCCCATCCCAGGCACAGGTAAGTCTAAAACTGGTCTCTTTGACATATGCCCACAATACGAACACATAAACCGACCACCGCCGGGATTCTGATCCCTATACGGAGTCTTGCAGTTTCGACACCGCCTCGTTGCTGTTTTCCTCAGCTTTTGCAACTCTATTGCCTCAAACCTTTTCTTCTCTCTAAGCATTGCATTCCTCCGCACCCGCCAAGCCGAAAGCTGAGGCATCAAAACCTCATACCAGAAGAGAGTAACCAAGAGCACAACAACACAAGCGAGTCTAGGCGAAGTTATCTCAAATCGGAAAGCTGGTGGTAGAAGCTGAGAGAGACCCCATAGTCCTATTAATGGAATAACTAACCAAGGAAGCATCGTAGCAACCCGGCGAGACCACTTCTGAATCACACAAAGTATACACATTATCCTCTAGCATACGCCTATCTTTCCCCCGACTTGAATTTCGACAAATTAAAAAACCCTAAGATTCCCACACAGCAAACTTCCCGAAGCAACAATGCTCCCAATAGCAAACCCTAACCCTAATATCCCGCTCAAATCGAACAGCAAGACACCAAATTTCTCAACGTTTCCAAGAACCCTAGAAACAACTAAAATCTCGAACCCTTCAAGATACGGAAGAGCACGGAAAAACACAATCCACCATTAATGGTTTGAGCAGCACCCAAAAAAGCTCAAAAATTCAATCAAATTTTAGGGTTTTCAAGATTCCGAGCTGCGCGTCAATCAAATGGGTTCAGCAATCCGGAGACTTACAGATTCGAAGAGCATGCCGTATTGGGAATGAGGGCAAAGTTTCGGAAGGCTAATCGGAGCCGCCGCTGCCGTCGCTTTGAAAAGGGTTTGGGATCCGGATTCGGGTCTCACCGACCGTTGAGCTCGTTTTATCGTTTTCGTTGCAAAACAGCAACAAGAAACTGCGATGATGGAGAGAAAGCAGAGACACGGAAAAGAAAATGCCGGAATGTGAGGAAAAACAAATTATATAACCAATGGGTGGACCCGGTCTGACCGGAAGTGAACCGGGCTTTGAATGGTCGGTTTGGTAAAGGCGAATATTCTTCATGTTGATAGGTTATTAGTGATTAGTCCCAGATCTTATCATTAAGCTAAAATGGCTTGCAAACAATTTTTGACATAAGTATATAGAAAATATGGGTTTAATTTGAGGGGCAGGGTTGATTAATTGTGGAAGTAATTAAGTAAAATTAAGTAGCAGAACATCTGAGTTCAAATTTGTTTGTACCTATCATGCATCAATTAAAGATAAAGATCACAGAAATGTCACAAGCATTAGGAGCAAAAGATTTGATCTTTGCTGATTGATGGGGGCATTTAAGGTTAGCATGTGAAATGTCTTTTACAAGCCAAATTAATTACTTAATTACATCAAGTCAAACTTTGCCACCCAAATTGTCAAAGTGAAGGGGGGTCTTGGGCTCCAAGGAGGTCAGATTTTGACTCAAATCTGAAGAGGAGGGCAGCTCTTTTAGGATAAAGATGTGAGGAAATCTTGGGACACATTTTTTGACGCGAGTTTTATCGAATAATTGTTAAGGATGGTGAAATTTATGTGGATATAATTTGCATTTTTGTCTTCAACTTCGGATAATCGACTGCAAAATTTCGAATGTAAAAGTAACTAATTTTATTTGAACTCACATCTCAAATCACAAGAAAAAAGTTAACTTGATCGACAAGTTTTGTGATCATAGTTGGTTATTAGATATTAAAGACTTTTTCTTTAATTTGTTTTTTTTTTTTCTCCTTTTTTCGTGACGGTGGTTGTGAAGCCCACGCGATTATTCAATTGTTTACTAAGTTTAAATGGGAAAATTGTTGCTAGGCGCCTGACACCTTCATATGGTTGTGATTTGAGTTTTAAGGACACGTTGTTTGGAAAAGAAAAGAAAAAAGGTAAACGAGCGACGATATATAACTAAATTAGGCCAAACCAAAAAGAAGGTACATATATAACTAACCAACTCTTAAAAGTCGACTTATGTTGCATTATTGTCACTTCTCCCATCACAATGTTACCAAAACAATCAAACTAAAACTCACTGTTCCCTAACACATACCCAACTCAAGAAGACGCGAAATAAATACGGTAACTAGTTCACTAGCTAGTTGTAGTAGGTCTCGTGCCACTCTTCTTTCCAAATTTGAATCTCCGTGCCTGTACTATCTAAATTCGAATGACAAATTAGATCGTCATATATATTTTTTTATTACAAATTTATATTCTAGAAGCTGCCTAAGCTGGCAAAAACAGTTTGAAGAGCTATTGCCATGGTTTGAAACTATCAACGGAAAATCAAAAAGAATTCGTCAAAGTTAGTCCGAATTGATTTTATATTAGCAGACAATCTATTAATTTTATGTTCGCTAACGCACTAAACACGAAAATAAATTGAAATATTTCCTCATCGAAGTCAAACCATTCAAGAATTTCCTCAAGAATAAAGTTTGGCTCCTCAAAGACTCTAAAAAATACTTTGTTGCTTTATAGACCTTCGTGTTTATAATCGGAATTGTTCATATTATAAATTATTGTATAAAAGTTATCTCTACAAAAAATATCATTCAGTGAACAAACTATATATCAGAAAATATACGGTTCATAATGCTTTCGCTACTTCCGACTGCCTGTTTTTATAGTTCAAACTTTAGACTAAACAATGCTATCATTTCATTTTTTTTTTTAAAATAGAGTAAACAATGCTATATTTTGTTAATTTTTTGGGAAAATGATCTTTACAAAGTAATTTCGAATATTAACATTTCCGATGATAACTGATAACAAAGAAATTCCGTAAATAGGTCGGAAATTATTTTGTAGATGAAAAAGGTGATATTATTCAGTTCCTAAACTCCATTAGTAATACTTCTAGAGTCTCCTCCTTCTCCATCCTACTAGTGAAAAGGAAAACGTAAAGACTACTATTAAAGCAGGTCAAGCAAGAACTCCAACAATCTACAAGTGCCAAGTTGAATCTGTTCTGAACTAGCAAGCCCCTTTTGTCCAAATGAATGAGCTGTTTAAAGCACAAGACAAAATCATGTGAGCCCATGATCATTACATTTGCCTCAATGGGCTTACACCTAAAAGCCCATTATATTTTGGTCCCAACCATTTTTTTTTTTTTGAGAATGTGATATCCACACATTCTATTTTACTTCTCACACACTTTTTTAATTTTCGACCGTCGGATCGGATGAATTGAAGAAGATCAACGGACATAAATTATCAATGGGTGTGTGAGAAGTAAAATAAGGTGTGTGGATAGCACACCCTTTTTTTTTTCTTTTTGGTCTAGTTCCTAGTCCTTTCGATTGCTAATTCATTAGCTAATTAACTTTTTTTTTTCTTATACAAGTGATGATGATAGTAAGAGAGGGCGAATCAACTCAACTTTCTTTATGATATTAGAGTATGTTGTATTTTGTATAAAATTAAACAGTCATGCATGCTCCACGTCACCAGATTTGTGTTATCCACGTGCACACATGAAGGAGCGTGTTAAAAGTATGAATCTTACATTGGAAAAAGAATGGACTTTACATGTGCTTATAAGTAACTGAGTTATTCCTCATACTGCTAATTTGTTTTATGGGCAACTTACATAAAACTACCTCAACTATTAGGTCATTAACAGTTTCATACCTCGTCTTTAAAAAGTTACAATGTCATACCTTATATTCGAATTTGTTGCAATGTCATATCTCCCATAGTTGTATGTTAATTCATCTGTTAAATGATGACGTGACTTGAGACGGGCCCATTTTCTATTAAAAATTATTAAAATAATAATTTACCCTTAAAATAAATAAACCACACCCATCTTCCCCTTCCCCTTCTTCTTCCCTGCAATCCAGATCCATTCCCCTTCCCCTTCCCTGCAACCCCCAACCCCTTCCCTACCCACGCTAACATCTCCACCCACCACCACTTCATTCGCCCCTAACCCCTTCCCCACCCACGCCAACAGCTCCAACCTTCCCCACATCCTTTCTTCCTCCTCCGCCAGACCCACCTCTTCCTTCTCTGCCGCCCACCCCTCTCCCCGACTGGGCGTATTTCTACGACAGCGCGTACTTCTCCCCCCAGACCCACCTTTTCCTTCTCTGTATCGTTTTTGTCCGAATGTTCTGGGTACAGATGGTGGGGCGATTTTTGGTGTTGGTGGGATTGGGATTGAGTTTTTTGGCGTTGGTCGAAGAACTCGAAATCCTGCAGTGACGGAGGGTAGAAATTTTCCCAATTTCACATGAAGGAGGCATGCGCCGGTGTTGGTGAGAGGCGGGGGCGGAGGAGGAAGAGATGATGTGGGGAAGGTTGGAGCTGTTGGCGTGGGTGGGGGAAAGGTCGGTGGCGGAAGAGGTGGGGGCGGGTGGTAGTTGGTATAGGTGGGGAAGGGGTCGAGGAAGATGGGTGTGGGGTTTTTTTTTTTTTTAAGGTAAATTATTATTTTAATAATTTTTTAATAGAAAATGGGCCCCTCTCAAGCCACGTCAGCATTTAACAGATGAATTAACATACAACTGACAGGAGGTATGACATTGCAACAAATTCGAAGATAGGGTATGACATTGAAACTTTTTAAAGACAATGTATGAAACTGTTAATAACCCAATCGTTGAGGTAGTTTTATATAATTTACCATAGTTTTATAGTGAAATCTCAACTTTCTTTAATTAGCTTAAAAAAGTATTCGTAATCTTCGACCGAATTTTTCTTCTTTGAGATTCTTTTATGGAATAAGGTTTTAACAAGACTACTTTTCGCATTCCTCATATTTGTAATATTTTTTGTTATCGATGAAATTCAATCTCTTTGAATTAAAAAAATAAAAAATTATTGGTGAGGCAGTATGATTCATCAACATTCAACAATGCCACACCCACATAAGTTTCATAATAAGCATATATGTAAGACTGAAATGTAAGTCCTAGCTTAGCCTTTGAATATGGGAATACTTATTGAAACGAAAATTCTCTTTCCACCATTCTATGTGCAACACGTGTGTGGTCCAAAGGAAAATAACAATATTGCAAACAAAAAATAAAGAATTATCCAAACCAACCAAAAGGCATGGAAATGGGCATTGCCGATTGAGCATCTTCAATGGAAAAGAGCCAATAGAAAGGGATGAGGCCAACCATATATTTGATTTGCAACAACAGCTTTTACTAGGTACTGATAAAAGGACATGTCAGTATATGTGTGTGTGTATACGTAGAAAGAGAGGAGCTGTCAAGCCTTAGCCAACTAGTATTTTAATAGGAAGCTAACAACTCGTTTGAGTCCACTCCACAATTTAATCTCAAGATCTGAACCGTTCAAATTTGTGGATATCATTACTAGAAACTTGAATATGAAATCATTTAGCTCTTTAATTCTTCTTGTGAACATTTCATGGTTTATCGAGAACTCTATCTTCGTCTATTTGTCATGTTACAATGAGAAAAAACGACGTCTAGTTTTAGTGAATTTTTGCATCAATGATCTTTTAGTGATAACCTAAAAAATGAGTGGTTCAGATTATAATTGATATCGGTTAATGAGTCCAAACAAGTAGTTAGTTTCGTGCTGGAATATTAACTAGTTAGCGCTTGAGTGCTCTTATATGTATATATATGTATGATTATTTTACAGCATTTGTCTAAACCATTTGCCACATCCTAATACCTAGAAGTGGCAAATCAACCCACTGGGTTGTTAATGGGTACCCGTTAAGACCCTTTTAATTTAATATCATCATTATATAAGGGTGAGATTAGTAATGATGATGATGTTCTAAGGTGAAATTAAACTAAATGGGTCTTAATGGATACCCATTAACAATCTAATGGGTTGATTTGCCACCTCTACTAATACCTAGACTTAAAATCTCGATGATGACACGAATGTTGGAGGCAAAGTTCAACATAATTCACCAAAGGACACA